ATGGAGATGGGCAGTTTTAACATTTGTTTTACATTTTGAAAAATCAATAAAAATGTAAAAGAACTAAAAAAAAGTTAACGTTAAAGAATTAATAAGTGGTAAAATTTCAGAATATTTTAATGTTCTCAGTACATTGAAATCTCACAAAACTTAGCTGTGATTTTAAATTTCTAGGTAGCCAAGATCAGCAGGGATGCTGGCTGCCTGAAAAAATGTCAATCCATGTAGAGCAGTTTCTCAACCTTCAACTTTAAGACATGTGGACTTCAATTCCTAGAATTACACAGGCAGAATGTTGCCAAGGTTAAGAAACACTGCTGTAGATAAAAACCTATTATCACACCTAGCATTATACTAAAGCTAATATTGCAAAAGATTAGGGCAGAGGTCCTCAACCCCTGGGCCTCAGCTCATTACTGGGCTGCAGCCTGATCAAAATCACGCCCCGGGAGAGATAGGTAAGGACGCACATGTGAAGCTCCACTTGCACCAGCGGAGAGCACTTGTACAAGTAGAGCTTCGTGTGTGTGCACAAGCACTCTGCTCAAGTGCCCTCCGCTTGTGCAAGAGCAAGTGCTTGCCAGTAATGCGAATGGAGCTTCATGCACGCGCGCACGCACCTTCCGCTCGTGTGCCAAGTTCCATTCGCACAAGTGGAGAGTGTGCATGCCACTCACACAAACGGAGCTGTGTGTGCGCGTGCACCTGCCACTCACACCCCATCTCTCCCCTGCACCAGGCCTGGCTGCCAAGCTGGAAAGTTTGGAGACTGTTGGGTTAGGGCATTATCGGTGATGTATATCTTTATTAGCCTTACAGCTAAAAGCACAGAAGATGACATACAGTAAAAATCACAAAAATCTAAAATCACTGTTAAATAGCTGTTTAAAAGTAACAAAAACTAAAACTCAAGCAGGCATCACAAGAAGATACAAAAATGCAGCAAAAATGAATTACTGAAAAATACAGAATAACAGAAATGTAAAGACACCATACCTGTCTTCCTGTTATCATATTCAATATCAACTTTCTTCAGTACAGCCCCTTGTAAGGAACAAGGACTTAATGAGTGTCAAAGAAACAGGGAAGAAGGAAGCAAAGTACACCATAAAGGCATTCTATTTTTGCATTTCCTTCTTATAACAGGATTTGGGAGTGGGGGAGCGGGGGGGGGGGGGCTTTTTGGTTCATGGATTATTCCTGGTAGCAAAGTTACATACACTAATTTGAATGCCATACATCTAGTCTTAAGAAATATTCCCTGTGATTCTTTTGATAAGAAATAAAAAATTATGTTTTTTCCTAAGTACTTGATTGGGTTCAATCAATTAAAATGTTATGTATTTCTGAATAGTAAGAGGTTAAAGTTTTAGAAAATAGTGATTTCTGATTGCAGGTTTTTTCCCCCTGGCAGCAAAAGTCTGACAGATTTTCCCTGTTTTACAGTTTCACGTGGGCCTCATCTCACATAAACAGAAATATTCTCTTGTGCCTAAGTGGACAGCACGTTGAAATGTTTGACACTGAATTCCGTGAGCTCTATGCCATTTCAGAGGAGGTCAATCTTTACAAGGAGTTGAACATTCCCTGTCCTTTCCGTCATGGTATTGGCAATCTTGGTTTTTCTTCCTCTACTGTAGCCCGGAAAGTTATCAACCCAAAATATGGACTGGTGATAGGTATTACTCCAGGTGAAATGTTGCGCCGTCAGAGGGACCAGTCACAAGAGAAACTTGAAGGAAGAGAAGACGAAAGTGAATCAAGTAAACGACTAGATAGTTTTCTTAATGACCTTATAACAGTCAAGCAGGTGCTGCCAGATATAGAACCTCCACTTGAGAATGTGAGCACACCAGAACCTCAAAAGCTATTTTCCCGATTCCACTTAGACCTCAAATCCAAATCCAAATCCAAAGAGTCTGTCTGTGACCATAGGAAGGATGAATTGGCTGATAGGGAAGTCAATTTCAAACAAGGCAAGAAGTTTAGCAGTGGATTTTTCAGAAAGGCCAAGCGACCTCCACCTTTGAATGTTGATGCCAATTCTGCTACTAGTGAGACTGCTGAAGACTTGATGGGTGTAAAGATACCAAAGGAATGCAACACCAGTTTTCATAGTACTGGAGACAATTCAGGTAAATTTTCCTGGAAAATATTCTCCCTTGTTTTATTTCTGTCAATGAATGCACGTCACACAATCAGGCTTTCATTTTGAAAAGATATGCAATTTCCTTCCTTTCTCCCTCTCTTTTATCCTTTATTTTTCTAAAATTATCTTACTGAACAGTAGGAATTCAAAGGGAAGAGGGTGGCTATATGAAAGTATATTCTGTAAGCCTGGCACCATATGTGTGACCTCATTCAATAACATTGTTTTTAGGTGAGTAGGAGAAGAAGCTAAATACAATAACCATCCTTTTGGTTTTAAGAAGGAAATAGATTGTCATCTAGAGCAGGGGTGTCAAACTCAAGGCCCGCGGCCGGAATCCAGCTCGCAGGGTGCTTAGATCTGGCCTGCGGGGCTACCCTGGAAACAGTGAAGGACCGGCCTGCAGTGCTTCTGCCAGCAAAAACAGAGCTCAAGAGGGCCTTGCGCAGCCCTCCCGAGCTCTGTTTTTTGTGGCAGAGTGCTTGGGCCACCACAGGTGCCCCAACATGAGTGACATCAAGCTGGCCACACCTACCCCATTCCCCTGAGGTCAAACACAACCTGATGTGGCCTCCAATGAAATCGAGTTTGACACCCCTGATCTAGAGTTCTGTGAATAGGGAATCATGTAGTATATAGTATATGTTCTTAAACTGCTGTAAAGAACTTCAGTTAGAATTGCTGATGCAGATTTTGGAGTTATTGGCATTCAGGAAGTGCCTTGAGGTACTGCAGCTGAATTTGAAATAGATTCATTTTCTCTTATTTAAGTTTTCTGCTTTTTTACACTCCAAAGTGTGCATAAGGTAATTTTGGCTTCTTTATCCATTATTAATGGTAAAAGGTTACATGGGATTAACAAGATAAATCACGGCAGGTTCACACCTGTGGAGACTGTAACTCTCATCCATTTTATCCTATGATGAATAGACTCCACAGAAAACAATTCCCCTTGTTCTATATGTAGAGTATATGTATATTTGTTTGTATAATGGCTTGGGGAAGATAAAAATAATACTGGAAAAGATCCCATTTGTCTTTTTAGTTTTGCACAATCTAATACAAATGAGATAATTTCCTTCCTCACTGCCAAGGAGTTTGTGCGAGGGACTTGGGAGAAAACAAAAAGCAATGAAACCACAAATGAGCTACCTGTAATATCTAGCTAGTAATATATTAGCTTTTGCAAAAAAATCTTTGAAGTGACCTATGGAACCCCTCACAACATTTAAATTCTAGAGCTACAAAAGAAGCAATTTAGCTAATCTCATAGCTGTAGCACTCCTTCAGCAAACTATGAGCACATTCTGCTGCTATATTTTAATTATTAATATTCAGAGACATCTGTCTCCACCATGGAAGGCAATAGTTAAAATTATCATGACTTAGCCATGGATATATTATCCTTCATTAAATATTTCTTTTTCCTTCTTAACAATGAGTTGTTAATTTTACAAGGGTGAACTAAAAATATACATTCACAAGGGCTTGTGACTTGCAGTCCTTTACAGCAGCAATAAAACCATACATTTTACATAAGAGTTGCCGTAGCCAAAATGTAAATGCAAATATTTGTTTAAGATTCTCAACTCAGTTTAGATATGGTACTGAAGATATGAATGTCTTCAGTCTCACATGTACTTGGTGACATTCTATTTTTTTCATTCTGAAGAGGGATTTTTGCCTATACAACTTTGTAATAAATAAGAAATTAGATCTGATCAGTCTGTAGTGAACATATCTATATAGCCTACTTTGCAAAATATAATTCATGGAAATGCGAAGAATCATTTTCTGATAATAAAAATTACAATGCTATGTATGGGACACAGCAGATTCAGATCATAAAAAAGCAGCCAAGGGGTTAAAGTTCTCTTTACATTTCACAGCTTATTCTTGTATGGAAAATATTATTAAAACTTCAGGTGCTGTTAAGGCCCCTTTTGGAGACTGACAGTCTACCTTGTTTGATTAGAAATCTTTATAGCACAAAGTGCACAGTTTTTTAAGTAAATGTGTTTTGTTTAATTGACCAGAGGACAAGTAGCAACCCCTAGTGACAGAATTACAGAATAACAGAGCCTATGTCCCGATGTCTGCCTAGCTTTCCCCATTATTTTCATATTGTTGTCAGATAAAATATATGGATATGTCCACAAAGTAACCAGTGGTCAGCTTGAATGAGCAATCCATAAACTGGCATTGAGTTTTTTTTCAATGGTGCTGTCTAGTGGCTAAGTTTGTATAATAGCACTGGTGATTAACACTGGTCGCATTGATGGATGATCTCTGGAGAGCCAGAGATGAAGGACATCCCTCCATCCTGGTCCTCCTTGACCTCTC